TGAACTTGAAGAGCATGTCTTTTATCTGTTTCTCAATGTTCCAGGGCTGGTTGCCTACTGGGACCTTGAGGAGACCCGGTAGATCGATCAAGGTCAGTGTTAGCACGTGAGGTGAAAACACTCGCAGGTCGATTGGCAGGGGTGAAATCCCGCCATTCTTCTCGGTTTTGGTCTTGGTATCTCGCACAATCTCGTCTTGAATCTTGTTGAAGTCAAAGAACTTTGCTCCAGGTTCTTTTTTCCCAATAAAAATAAAAGCAAGCAATCAAAAATCAGATGAAGTTTGACCTTGGCATGTGGAGGTAGTTTGTTGCTTAGCTTACTGTGATTCACCCAATTTGGCCATACATTCCTCCCATTGATGACCTTTTATGACACTGTTTGTCAATTGGAGGACACACTCCCATCAAGGACCAGTTATGACTGGTCCTTGATTGGAGTAAACACCCCCAACATCCCCACCAATGACCGGTTTTGACCAGTCCTTGATGGAAGTAAACACCCCCAAGCACCCCCATCAATGACCGGTTTTGACCGGTCATTGATGGGATTAAACACCCCCAGCAATGACTGATTTTTTTTTCTTTTTTTCTTTTTTTCTTTTTTTTTGTCAAAGTGGCGGTTCAGTACCTCCATATTCCATAGTATGGAGGTACTGAACAGCCATTTTGGCCAAAAAAAATGAAAACATGGGGATGAACCGCCACTTTGGCCAAATAACCGCCAAATGACGGCCCTGAACCGCCAGAATGGCCAAATTGAAAATTGAATCCAACCGCCAAATTGGCCACCCATGCTCCTGAGCCGCCATCATTGCCCCTGAACCGCCAAACATGGCACTGATCCGCCAAATTAGCCATGTATCCAAGGGGTTTGTGACCTTGTCTCAACCCCTTGGACTCTACACGCCCCATCAATACACCCAGTCATCCATGGGACTGGGAGTACATCTCCCATGGATGATAAACACCCCCATCAAGGACTGATTTCAACCAGTCCTTGATGGGGTAAGCCTCCCATCAAGGGCCAGTTTGGACCTTGATGGGAATAAACAACCCCATTGATGACCGGTCATCAATGGAGGACACACTCCCATCAAGGACCGGTATTGACCGGTCCTTGATGGGAGCAAACACCCGCAAACACCCCCATTGATGACCGGTCAAAACCGGTCATCAATGGGAGTGAAACCGCCCAAACACCCCCATGGAGGACCGGTCATGACCGGTCCTTGATGGGAGTGTGTCCCCCAATGATGACCGGTCATCAATGGGGTTATTTATTCGTATAAAGGTCCGAACTGGCCCTTGATGGGAGGCGTACTCCATGAAGCACTGGTTGAAATCAGTCCTTGATGCGGGTGTTTATCA